CCATTAGATGTTATTATTGCCAGGAGCAGGGAAATCTTGATCATCTCTTATCAATCACTCTCATCAAGCTCTGAAGGTTCTCTGCACACAGGAAAAATAACAGAAGAGAAACAAAAAACATTTTTATTAACAGCTGTGCAAACATCTGAGAACTGTAGTATAAAGTGTGGGCTACCACTTACCTCTGAACCTAAGTCTGAGGACTAGCGTGTCCAGGCATGACAAGGGATGGGGGTGGGAACCATCTGCATAAGTCACTGGCCCAGCTGCGAGCTCTGAGGAGCCAGTACTCACGATGTGCACCCTCTGGCAATGCTCTGACCATATCCAAACCATGTCACGGATCTTGCTGAATCACATTAGCACTCCCCTCCCCTAGCAAATGCTGTGAAGGATTGGACAGAAGCTTCCTGTCTGGAGGAGAGGAGACTGAGCCTCCCTAATGTACCAATTGCCATGTAGAAACCACGCCTCACCAGAGAGCTGGCCCAATAGTCTCACTGTCATTTGTGTCTTTTTCATTATGGGTCTCTGCAATTATATTCAAAATGTCACTATTTAGAAGATCTACTCAGCTAGTTCCTGCCGTTGGTCTTTTCACAGCCAGAATAGTTCCCTAACTTCCATGTTGGCTCATTTATTTTATCATCAAGCATAGCAATACCCCTCCCGCCCCCCCAACCCGCTTCTCATTCGGGGAGGGAAGCACCAGATTAAAGATCAGATTGCCTGAATTTCAGTCCTGGCTGGTTGATTTTAGGAAAGTCACTTGTCCATTCTGTGCCTCAATTTACTCTCCTAAAAAGTAGAAATACTTGTGTTTATTTTATAGTGGTGATGTGAGGATTGACAGTTAAATCACATATACATATGTGTGAGTGTGTGGAGATCCCAAGATCTCAATGCATGCCGTGTTGTTGCTATCTTCTCACTTTTTCTTTAATGTGGAGTTTATCATATGTACAGTTGGTTGATGATTTGAGGCACGAAGATAAAAGTGCACATAGCATATACGTCATCAGAAAGTTCCCCTGATGTTTAAACTTCTGGGTCTAAAGTTCTGGCTCATTGTGGTTCCCCTGCTTTAGACATTAAAATGTTCTGGTGAATTGCCATGCTTGCTGGCTGCCTGGTCGGATTTTCTTATTGCACAGCAGGGCACAAGTACCCTTCAGTCCTGTGTCCCTTTGGCCTCAATCTTCTTGTCCCTGTTTAGTGGCCTTAACCTCTCTTACAGGCCTTACAGCCTCTGAGACATTCCCTTCCTAATTTTTATTGCTCCCAACATCACCTCGAGGAATCTATTTCCTGTTTCTGCATAGCATCTTGCTGCTGGAATGTGAGAACACAAGGAGCTGTTGATTTTACACTCCTAAATCCTTAAACAAAAATTGCAAAGTGTTCTTCTGTCTCCTCAGAGAAATACAGCCCCTCTTGTTCTCATTCAGTTGCATAAAGCAACAGCTGTCGCTGCTTGTACAATTGCTTCAAATCCCTTCATTTCATGTAAAAGAATCCCTCTTGAAACCTGCATTGTCATAATCTGAGCCCTGAACAGCTTTCTGGTCATCAGGATTATGGGGCGTGTGGTTTTTTAAAAATACGAATTTTGAGATTTAGGGGGAGCATTAGGACAGCCACATAGCCTTCTGAAAAATGAGCAATACAACCAAACAACTGTTGTGTTTTTGTTGAAATGTGCCTGCACTGGTTTGATGTCTTCACTGAGTGGCCGATGTGTTTTATATAGCACGCTCATCCCACAGGGTGTATGTTGGGCCCACTGCAAACTCACAGAAAACCAGGAAGACACTTGCTCTCCTTTGTCACTCCCAAGTTTCTTGGCATCAATCAGTCTGTTTGAAGCAGTTCTAGAAGAAAAACATGGTTCTGGAATGTGGTCCTGTGTGGCCTCCCAGAGGGTGGCTGCTGCCACCTTCAGGGGCTGCTTTCCAGACAGAATAGTTATTTTCAGACAATGGTATAGTTTTATTTCTTCAAATAATTTAAATTGCCCATTCCAGTGGAAGACGGCACTCTCTATCTGTGGTGCAAAGAGGATTGGATGTTCTGTCTGTTTCCTTTTTGTTTTCCCCTTAGTTGGAAGAGCTACAGGAACTGAAGGACCACGATGAAATCCATTAACTATCCTCCAAGTCTAGCCATCTTACTTTTTTTCACTTCCTATTTCCAATATTTGTCCTGGAGTATGTGGGAATCCAGCTTCCTGTTGACTCTTTCCCCCCACTTGTCCCCTCTGGCACATGCTGTGGGCATTCCCTTGGGTCTCCCTGAGGAAAAACATCGCTGATGTAACTGCACTGCAGGATTTAGACACTCTGGATACCACACACTGTCTTGAGAAATTCTTCAGAAAATGCTGTATAGGCTTAGAAAGCCAAAGCCTTAGGGGATACTCATAGAGAAAAACGTGAACTTTAGACACTTTTGAAGCTGTGGGAGGGGAGAGAGATGAGGGAGATGGTGAAGGAAGGGTCAGGTAGGAGGAGGCTGCTAATAAGAACCCTTCTGAATTCAAGGTCAAGCTCCCACCCTACTGCCCAGGTAGAGCCAGCCTCCCCAGGCAAGCAGGGACAATGAGAATAAACCTTCTGCCCACCCTTGCTGTCATCTTAGAACAACAGGATTAGGCTGACTTTCAGGTTTGATCCATGGTAGTATAATGTCAGGCTCTTCCTTATCCAAAAATAGCTCCCACCTACCTGCTGATGCTTGAAAACCCTTTACCAGACAAAGCCTCTGATTTCCAATAAAGAGATAAAAGGCTTAATTATGCAAATCTATACTGGAGTAGCTCTTTCTGAAACTCATTCATATTAAAATGTCATCAATCAGCTTTTTAGCAGGTGGGATGACTGATACATGTGGAGATGGCAAAGGCGGGCTGCATCGGGTGGTATTAAAGGAGAAAGACCTGCCCAACCTTGACGTTAGGACAGGCATGGGAAAGGCAGGTCATGAAGCTCTGAAATAGGCAGGCTGCTATTGTTCGTCAGCTATGCCTGTAGGCAACACTAATTCAGTGTTCATGCAACTGCAAGAACAGCACTACTGCAAATAATGAAAATCAACCATGTATTACCATTTCTGCTCCATACTGTGTCTTCCTTCTATCAGCACCAAATGTCCCTTGCCTATTCCAACTTCAGTAATGTGAGCTGTGTCCTGTCTTATGCAGGAACCATGCATCAGAGGAATAGCATTACCGGGGATTTGTGGCAGTGCTCAAGGAAGATGTGGGTCAGGAGACCTTTAAGTGGCCTAGAGGTGGGATTGTAAACACTGTCCTTAAACCAATCTACAAAGGATGGAGCCCACCCAATCTGTGCCACATGTTGTACAGCATCAGTTGTTCACACTTCATGGCTTGACACCATTACAAACTAAATCCAGGTATTTATTTCTCCACTCCGTGTCTAGTCAGCTCATATTGACTTTGCTTTTGTGTAAATGTGTGACACTCTTCTTGGCTGGGGTAGTTTATCCCTTTACATTGTTTTCATATAACTGACTCTTGATCAAATATCAAGACAAAAGTAGAACAGTCCCATATCTAAGAATTTCATGATGCATCCTCAGATTCAAGTAAACACTCTTTAAACCAATCTACAAAGGATGCAGCCTGCCTAATGTGTGTCACACTCTGTACAGCGTCAGTTCTTCACATTTCATGGCTTGGCTCCACTACAAACTAACTACAGGTTTTTATTTCCCCACTCCCTGTGTAGTCAGCACACATTGACTTTGCTTTTGTGTAAATGTGTGACACTCCTCTTGGTTGGGGTATTTTATCCCTTTACATTGTTTTCATATAACTGACTCTTGGACAAATATCAAGATAAAAGTAGAACAGTTTCATATCTAAGAATTTCATGATGCATCCTCAGATTCAAGTTTGGATTTTTATCACCGAGGGTCCCAAGACAACATTCAAAGCCTGTGGCCAGGAGAATGACCACATCTTCTCTTCTTTTACACAGAAGTAAGGGCCAACGGAAACTCCGTCTTTGCTTGTGAAAGCAAAACTTGCCAGTAATGGGAGAAGGCATGGGGGAGAGAAGCAAAGAGAAGTTTGGATAATTTTTATGGGGGCATGTAATCTTTTGGGCAACTGTGACTTTTGTAGCCTATTTCTGAGCATGTTTGGGAACTCCTGCTTGCTTAATTAGGGGCTACCTTTGTTATCCTTTTTTTTTTAAGATTTATTTTATTTATTTATGCATACAAGAGCTGGGATGTAGGTCAGAGGTGTGGGGGTGAGAGGGTTCACCAGAGACAGAGTGGGGAACAGAACAGGCAGAGCTACCGAACTATACTGCTGAGGGGACTAGTGGGTGAGACAGGAGAGGTCTGCTGCACCATGTGGGTCACCTCCCTGGCCAGGGATTGAACTCATGCTGCAGTGGCTGCCGATAGCTTTGTAGTGCTGAGACTTTAACCCCTGTACCACCAAAGAGGTCTTACCTTTGTTATTTTTAGAAGCAAAGCACAACACAACAACAATGAAGGCAAGCAGCTAAGAGTCAGCTCTGGTTACTCTTCATGGTCTAGAGGTATAGTCCAGTCACCAAATCACATTTTAATGTCTTGTCTACTCAAAGAAAATGAAATGTAGCTAGACTTCATGAATCTTTAATAAAAATAGTATCAATGATTTTTATGACTTACAGACTTAAGAACTATGAACTCTAAAAATGTTTCCAACCATGGACACTGGTTAAGGCACCCAGATTGTTAGCGAATGTCTGTTGATATCAACATTCTTAGATTTGTGACCGCTTACAGCGCTGAGGAGTTAAGCTTACGGCAAAGTATCTTGGAGAGAAATCTTCCTCATAAAACAGGTTTTCCATTGATAGGATGAAGCATAAAAATCAACATATTGTATGTAAAATAGGAAATATTTAATATATATAAATTTATTTTCCTTGGCAATTACTTATTTACAATTGATGATTGATACCAACAATTGAGGTAAAAATACACATGAGGTACAAATACAATATTTAAATGCAATATCATATTTTATTTCCATTGGCAAGATAACAATGAATAAAATACTGTGGTATTTAACAAACAAGCTTGATGCATCTTTTTCCTTTTGCTTTTAGTTGCATCGTGTTGTTATGCAGCAGTGATGTGATTAGCATGTGCATAAAAATAAAAAAGTCTAGTAATTTGAAGAGAAGGGGAGTCAGAAATACAACTGTATTTCTTTTTATTCCAAGTGTCCTCTAGGTCCTTGCTTCTGAGCGTGGTTTTTGGCCAGCACCCTGGACGTCTCTGAGGCCTATTAGAAATGCAGGCTCACAGGCTCAACTCAGACTGCCTGAGTCAGTGTGCATTTGCACGGTAACTCTAGGTGATTCGTGCGCACGCTGAAGTTGGAGAAGCCTATCTAGGTGATATGATACCACCCATTCTTAGGTGCCGATCACATTCCCAAATACATAGGGTCCCATCTCTGCAGCAGGACCAGTGTTAAGCTAGATTACACTTCACTAAAGATCTTGTCTATGTATATGAGAGTAACCTTGCATATAGGATTAAATTTAAGATAAATGGCAAGAGGGAATTTATTTTGCTCACAGAGCATTTCCTAAATGGAGAATTATGGGTTTGCCTCCACCTTCTTAGGTAGGCAGGGAAATAAAAAATTCCTAGGTCATAATTCAAACAGTATGATTTTCTTTTTGCACCATACCAAACTCACATACAGCATTTTTATTCCTCCCAAGAAAAGAATTGCACATTGCTGATAAAAGAAAATATTACATAAATGCATACAATACACAAAAAGGAAAACACTCATTTAAGTTTTTCTTTTTTCCTCTAAGACCAGTTGCTAATATATAACCATCTTTCCTGGATTACCAAAGAAAATCTCTCTCCCTGAAACCAACCACAATAAGTTATTTTTTCTTCTAAGTTGTTGAATTACAATTAAAAAAAAACACACGCAAGACCATTAGCAATTAGTTAAGGAGAGTCAATTTGCTTAATCTATACAATAATAAATAAGGTTGGGTCAAATGCATAGGTAGTCTGGCTAGTGAAAATACATGGAATTAACAAAACTTTATATTTTCTAAAGCTAATTGAAAAACATAGCTTTGGTCTTATGTTAGCTTAAAACCCTGTGTTTCAGATGACAAAACTTCAAAGAACTTTATCTTAAGAAGATCATACATAGCGAAATAAGAATTCCCTGAAGCTATCATGGTTCAAAACTCTTGAATGACCATCATCTCCCCTTTGTCTGGTGTCCAGAGTTAAACTCCCGTGCAATACATTGCTAAGAAAATGCCAATTAACTGTGACCAAATAGGCCATTGATCAAAAAGAATGACACTTAACATTATGAAATGTATCTATGAAAACTTGCTAAAACATGGAGGCTCCCTTTGGCTATGGATATGCAAAGGCTATTATATTCATCTGTAACCAGCAGGGATCGAAGGGACCTGCTTGCTGACTCCAGTGGTCCATGGGTGTCTGAGATTTCACTGAAACAGCAACTGGGCAGGCCGGTGGCAACCTGTAATCATGCTTTAAAATTGGCAAAGGCTCCTTACCTACTACTTTGCTTTAAGGAGGAGTAAGCGTCCTTTAATTCTCTTTATTCACTCTCAGTTTTTGAATAGCACAAATAAAGTGTCAACAGTTAGCACACTTTTGTTTTCCTTTGGTTAGCTAATCTTTGGTTAGACATCGTGATGGACTGACAGATGATGCGGTTTTATATCTTGGTGTTAGCAGCAGATCCTGCTCAACTAACAGGACAGTGGGGCGACAGGGTCTAGAGCAACTTGGTGAGAACCATGTGAGGAAGGGACTCACTGAGTCAGAAGCATTCTTTTTCAAAATATTCAGTTATATATAATATCGGTATTTTACATATATACAGTAAAGATATAAACATAGAGATATACACACATATGTACATTTGCTATATATACATTTATTTACAGTTAAGAATGCGCTTCTTAGAAGGCTTTAAATAGCAAATTAGGCAATGAACAAGGAATAATCCATTTAATTTTAAGTAATATAGATAAATGTTCTGATTTTTAAAAATATTATATTAGTAGGGATGCAGCCATCTCCAGGAAGGCTAGGAAAGTTCTCAGAAATTCTTGCATCAGCAACATTCGGACTTTGCAGTGTTTCCACTTTTAAGCATTAACCATGTCAGGTCGGTCTCTCTCTCTCTCTCTTTCTCTCTCTCTGTCTTGTTTTCTCATGAGCAGAATCTCTCGCATAAGTGCTTGCTTTCACTTCCTCTTCCCTGAGTTTGATGTCACACTGGGGAAAACTCAGATTTTAGTTTCTGGACCCTCTGCAATGAGGGGCTGAAAAGAGTTTCTAATCCTGGCAACTTCCGCTGCACACAGATGTCCAAAGCCTCTGTTGTACCATTCTGGGGAGTGACCTCTGTGGGGACAAAAATCAGAAAGGAAGTGGGAAAGTCTTTTTCCAAATCACAATTTGTCATGGCAGACAGGGCAGCTGTCACACTCTTGCATCCACCATGGGGTTGCCTCCTTGAACGTGGGGAGCTCATTCATTCACCAGGTACCTTGAAAATACCATGGCTGCCAAGGACTCATTCTGTCTTTTCAGTATTGATCTTGTGCTTTAAAATGGTATCAGCTCCTCAGGGTAAAACGAGAAACCTCAGACTGAGTCTAGAATATCCTGAGCGACACATTTTATGTCTACCCAGACCTAGAACTCAGCTTCATGAATGCCATGCAGGGGTGGGATTTAAGTGAGTTTCTTCTCAAAGGAGGAAGGCTATAGGGAACTGCAAAAGGACACAGGCTTAAAGGAAACCCAAGAGAGCTTGAATTTACTGAGCCTCTACTATATGCTGGGTTATGTTCACACTGTTCTAGAAAAGTAAAAATATAAACTGAGAATAAAGAAAAGGGAAGGGCAGCAGGAAAATGTCTGAATTTTAGGAAAGGTGGGGAAGAGGAAATGCCTATTAATGCATGTTAATGGCAGTGAAGAGAAAAAAGCTTAGTGAAATAAGAAGTCAGGATGGGCTACTCGAGCTGAGCCTGCAAAGCCATGCCTGACATCCTTGGGGTTCATACTTACTTCAGGTCTATCCTGCAGATGTGGGTCAGTCTTGACTTGCCGGAACCACATGGTTCTATTAAGTACTGAGAATCCAGCACTGCAGCTCGCACACCTCCCATGAGCTGGGCTTCCTCATGCTCCACAGACAGGGACACGAGCATGCACATTCCTTTGGGCAAATCAGTTTTCCAGGTCCTGTAGCAAAACAACCCACACATCATAGTTAAGGGTAAGAGAGCAATAAAGACCTGCCCAAGGACTCAAATTCTTGCTCTAGCTAATGGTTTCCATAAGGGTGTGTGGAGTTTATACACTGTGGTTTAAAGCAAGGGTTTCACCTCTTGGACCCAAAGGCCAGAAGAGTTTTTGCAGCTTTCAGACCTGCCTTTGGAACATCAACTGAGGCTGCAGAGGTTTCTGTGATTTGTTGAATGAATGGTCTTATAATTTTGGAATTAGGATTTACTCATTGAACTCATTCAGCCAATATCCATTGAGCACATGGTATGCCCAGCTCTGAGGAGCCACCAATGACACAAAGATACACAGCCTAGGAAGGAGCAGACACACAAAGTATGTGCTATGCACACATACTGCTATGGCATCATATAGAAGGCAAGAGGAGGCATATAGGGAGGGCTTCCTGGAGGAGGTGATGGACCTACTAATTGTCTGCAAATACCTGAGTGCCTCTTGAACTTGAGGAGAAATAAATACAGTTGATGTGACTCTAGATGGCTGAGGCATAAAGGCACATTTCAGCTAAGTATAGAGAAGAGCCATCTTACGATGTGCTCTCCACAAAAATGGACAGGGCTGTATGAGGAGACAGCGAGCCTCTTGTACCCTAACATAGCCGGGGTGGGGGAGATACCACTTAGAAAAATGATGTAAATGGAAGTCAAGAACCACAGGAACACCTGTGTAACAACATTTAACACCCATTTCTATCATACAGAACAGGTTTTATTTAATCATCTTCATTGTATATGTCACAAAATCCTATTCCTGTGCTTAGTCATTTTATCTATAACTCTGTCCTGTTCTACCATACTAAAGAGAAACTATTAAACACACCCAACAAGAGTTTGGAGTTGACAGGCTCTACAGAAATACTTAGGAACTTTTTAATGGGTCTGACCATTCTCTTTTCATGTATGACAATGTGACTAAAAATAAATACTGAAAATTGTAGAGATTTGTTGGGATAAAATGGAAAAATGTTTAGTAACTGTCATTGGAAACTCCCGAGGTACTGGAGAAGGGAATACAGTGAGAGGTAAACAAGCTAATACCCCCATAGAGACTAGTCATGCATGTGCAAGCCCAAACAGGGAGATGCTCTGAAGATAGGATGTACCTCAGTCCTGGGACTTCCTTATTATATTCATCACTTTCTTCCTTCTTGCATAATAACCACAAGGAATTCCTAATACAGGAACCATGTTTGGTTCATTGTAAATCCTCTTGAGTGCTGAGTTCGTCCCCCTTAGAAAATCATGGTCCACCCACCTTCTTCAATTCTTGGATCAGATACCAATGCTGCGTTCCTCTGTCCTGTCCTAATCTTCACTATCCCCCTATCTTGTCCTAAGTGGATAAGCAAGCTTATCCCTCTTATCTACCATTTATCAACTCTCCCAAATAACGTAGAGACCCCAAGAGAGCAATGACTGTGGTCTGTTGTGTTCACTGAAGTACACCCAGAGCCTCCAATAGTCCCTGGCACAACGTATGATGGAATTATATCCGAAGAAGTAGTAGGCTAGTGGGGTTGCTGGATGGATGGAAGGAGGGAGGTTCCATGCACGCACTTCCATTCATGCATTCCAGCCCTCAGCTTTCTCTACAAGAAGGGAAGAGGCATGCTGGGTTATAGTTCTATCCCCCTGGCTGCCATCTTGGAAGAATTATTAAATTTTCTGCTTGCAACAGTGGAGCTGTGAAGTTTAACTTCCATGAGATGACTAGTGTCCCAATAACTGTTGTAACAGGTCACCCTTATAACTGCCACATTCTCCACTGGCTTCCTGAAGCTGCCAAATAAACACATACATTTAAGGAAAACTGATCCTTAAAATTCAAGGTTCCTAGGCCAAAGGCCTAAAGAGCTGAAGAGAAAAGTAACCTTTAGTTTAGATTAATCTCATAAGAAATTATTTAAAGTATACAACTGGGAATTTCACTAGTAATTCCTTTTATAAAGCCAAAGCATGAGAAACAAGTATGTTATTATCCATAAACACAGATATATTGATTTAATTATATTCCATTTGGATTTCTCAGTATCCTCAATGGCTATTCTTTCTGTTTCAATCCTGACTCATCAACCTATGTGCCCAGTTCACTGATGCAAACTTGCGATCATTGGTGGAACATTGCATTCCAAACACAGAGGTCAGGGGTCTGGAACTCAACTCATAACTCTATCCTAGGTGATATTTTAGCAGTAGATACAAGACTAGCAGGCTTGTCAGGCCCTGGAATCTGACTGAACATTCAATTGTCTTAGCAAAGCCAAGGTTTCCATGCATGGTAACAAGTTATGAGTATATGAAATTTTAAGATAAGTTTTGAAATTATATACATTGCAATTTTGAGAGTGAAAAAACTTAAGACTTGCTTTGGGCATAGGGGAGGAGAAAGGCACAATCAGAGAAAAACCAGTCACATTCAATTTGTATAATTTGGCAGAAAGTGCACTGGACAAACAGCAGCTATTCCTGGGACTGTGTTCTGAGGAAAGGAACCAAATTTATGACCTAATAAACCATATGTTCCATAATGCACAGGGCCATAAGAGAGCCCAGCAGAGCTGCAAATTGGGGGAAAGAGGCTGGAAAATGGACATAAATACAGTAATGTCAGGTTTCGCTGAGGGAAATGAGCACTGACTTTGTGTTCCCAGCGGGAGCTGATTTTAGGTGGTGCTGGTACTCTTGGAGATGCTCAGGTCTACAGCTTTTATTTATTTTAAAGATTTATTTATTTATGTATACAAGAACTAGGGTACAGGCCAGAGGTGCAGGAGGGTGAGAGGATTCACCAGAGACAGAGTAGGGAGCAGAACAGGCAGATTGACTGAAAACACTGCTGAGGGGAGCAGTGGGCAAGACAGGAGAGGTCTGCTGCGCCATGTGGGTAGCTCCCTGGCCGGCTGGGGATTGAACTTATGTTGAAGAGGTTGTGGATAGCTTCATAGTGCTGTGCTTAACCAGGGAGGCCAGCTTTTATTATCCTGTCTTGGAAAGAATATGTTAAACCCCAGAGTCAGGCTTACCTGAGAACCACGAAGTCTCTGGAAGGATGGGGGGCCATGCTGTTCAGCACATACTGATAGATCTCTGTTTGCTTGTCCAGAGATTCCACAAGCTTCCACTGCACAAAATCCTCATCCCAGAGGTGGCGCTCTCTCAGCACACGATTCAAAACCACCGAGGGGGGCGCTTCTACTTCCACAGAAGCCTTCCACAGCTTCAGTGGATTTCTGTCTCCCACCTTGGAAAGACACCATCAAAAGCTGAGGAGGTCAACTGGTTTAATAATAACCTACCACACTTTAACAGGTGGTCAGAAAACATCACTGATTATGTAACTTGAATGACTCTGTATACCTCAGGTTTAAAATTTTAAAATGTTCATCTTTAAGCTTAAAAATATAGTAAGGGTAATAAAAATAATAACCATCAACAGAGAGGGTGCTTATTGTGTGCCAGCCTCTGTTCTAACTCATTTGACTTTTAAATAGCCATCTTCTGACAGTTGTGCTATATGATGTCCATTATACAAATGGGAAAACTGAGGCACAGAGAGGCATGTGACTTGCCCAAAGTCACACAGCCAAGGGACAGAGAGACAGGAGTGGGATGCAGTGGTGTCATTCCACAGTCTGATTATATGCAATAGGATTGTTTGAACAGTACCCACGCCTTAGTGGGTACTGTTCACTTTGCACCAAGCCAGGGTAGCTATTTTCTTTATTTCACTTGGGGGAGGGGATTTTGAGGCTTAGGGCAGGCATTTCAAAAGTAAAACAAAACCCTGGTTGTTAGAGGCGACTCTTTGGGGGGGTGATTTTTTCTAACCCTTGACAGTACCTTTTTGAAAGCAAGGTCTGTATTGTCTGTGCTGGAACACGTGACCCATCCTTTGAACTTCTCCTTGGCTTCCTTCTGGAGGCCCTGGACGAGCTGTTCCAGGTAAGTGTGGAAAGTCGCCCCGCTCTCCTCCATCTGGGTCCCCAGCTCATCCAGAGTGGGAGTGTGGACCTCAGCCTCCAAATAAGAGCTGTGAGACTGGGCTACCATCTCCAGTGGGACCTGCACCAATGGATGCAAGAAAGAACAACAAACTGAGCTAAAGAGAGGCTGAGACTGCAAGAGAGGGCAAAACAGTTTTACTAAACTATCATAATGTGGGCAACAGGCTCGAGCCATGGGGAAAGAGATGTTTTTCTAAGGACACAGACAACGCTGGGGTGGGGGCGGGGGCTTCCTAAAGTCAGGAAACAAAACTGTTTCTGAGGCTGTATTTATTATTCAGAACAATTCGATGACTTCCTATTCAGTCTTTCCATTTTCCTTTTAATGTTTTTATTCAGTTTGGCAAAACCTGGGCTCAGGAAATGTAAAGCACAGAGACCTATTAAGGGAAACATCACATAAGACTTTAGGAATAACTTTACCTTTTTAGCATGCCTTTCCCACTTACAAATGCTAATGTTACCACAAAATGTATGCCAAAAGTCTAGTTCACTTACTTTTTTTAACATATCAGTGGCTGTATTCATAAACTGTCATTGACTCTTAGTAACAGGGATTGCTCAGTCTCTCTCTCTCTCTCTCTCTCTCTCTCTCTCTGTCACACACACACACACACACACACACACACACACACACACACACACGATGAACTTAATCAAGTCCCCTAGGCAAAATCAAATATAACATAATTAGCTGGCTGGTCTTGAACCTGGCAGCTAAAGGTGATGCAACTGTTTTCATGAAAATCATCATCATGGTGACCCCAAGTATCTTTCACTGTCAAAGCCTCAATTATACAGCCAGTGCCTCATATTTCTTGGAAACGAACAGCAGAGCTATAGAGTGTACTACTGTCATCATAAAATCAGGCACGAACACATATAAGCTATACGTGTAGCTACCATTCCAAGTGTCTCATCTAGTTCCAAGAGCTATAAGGAAGGCGGTTGGAGTCTTTCACTCACCTCAAAAAGTCTGTCGCATTCTATGATCATGTGGGCCAGCCCCTGAGCAGCAGCCAGATTCTCATTGAGGTCCTTTTGATCTGGCTTCCCTGTGGCATATTTCTTCTGTATGACTCTATAATTGAAGAGCAGAGTCCTAAGTAGATTCTCAAACCAAAGAGCTTTTCACAATACAGATCTCATTCTTTTTGTTTTCTGTTCTTCCCCAGATGCTATCCAGATCCCAGACTTCCTCATTTCCAAATAAAAATAATGAGCACATATCTTAGATATCCAAATCAGACTCAGCCTGACAGTTCATAATGAGAAACCTTAGAAAAATACAAGGACAGGAAAGACTGTTGGGGGAGAATTAATCTATTTTTCCAAAGTTTGAAACCACTTCACTGCAAGTTTCTATGCCTGGACCTTAAATATAGCCTTTTTATATTACAGATTGTAAAGTACTATTTTGTGCACTTTTTCATTCCCTCCCTCCCTCCTACTCACACACAAAACAAAACAAATCTCCTAAGGTTTTTGGGATCACAAAGATATTCTCCAATGCCACTTTGATAATTCTATGAATCTGAGTCACACAAATTAGGCTGCCTCAAAATATTTTCTGATTAGAAATTAAGTGTGGACAAATTCTCAACCTGAAATAAATTGAGACTTATTTTTTTTTTAATGAACTGTAGGAGAATATTTGGTTTAGGATTACTGGTGTTGCCAAGACAAACCCACCTGGGGGAGCTTTCTTTCTTCAATAAATTAAGATGAAAGAGGGAGGGGGCCAGACATACAGCCAGGTTCATGGGTGTCATCTGATTCTCCTCTACCAAGTTGACCACGTCGTGGAGGAAGCATAGCAGTGTCTGCAGAACTTCCCTGCTTTCATCAGCTAGCAGCAGGATGGCGGCCTGCACGGCCTGCAGCCGCTGCTCTTTGGGGACATCTGTGGAAAAGCAGGTGCCAGGTAATTAAAAGAACAGGCCCAGAAGGAGCTAGCTGGGTGGGAGTGAGCAAAGCCTCATCTTCCTGAGGTGAAGACACACTCAGAGCCATCCTAGTGGTGACGACAACTAACAGCACAAAGAGGTAAGTCACCATTAGGCCTCTGGCTGGGAAGAGACAGCACTGAAACAAAACCCAGCCATGTAACTCCAGAAACCAGTCTCAACAATAAGGTAGGACTTGGAAAGGAACGCTTTCCAAGAGCTAGTCCACCTGCTCATCTGTTTTTAGACTGCTTCTGTTCTTGTGGAAGCTGGCGATGGGCTGGGGGTCCACCAACCTGGTTTCCCTCTTACCTGTCCTCCCACCACACAGCTGGTGAAGTGCTCGGGACCATATGAGACTGGTTTGGAAACCACTTTGTGAGCAGATGGAAGCCTTGCCATACCCTTCTCATGGAGCTGCCGAGCCATGACACTAGCTTGGCACAGTTAACCATGAGGGTGGGAACCAACTGACGGACCCTCCAGACTGACTCCTAGAGGATATGTTCTAGGAGGGTCAGCCTGCCATGTCTTCTCTTTCCTGTAGGTCACGTAGGGCTGGTTCAGAGGAGGAACACTATTAACTTCATACGTAGACCCAGAGCTAGCTGTTCCATAATCTTGAGCTACAGAGACTGGGTTGCACTTGGCAAAAAAGAAGAACAGAGTTACCTAAGTAAGGGGCATATATAGCCCCTCTAAGGGCCATCCCCCTTCAGGCTAGCACTGGTCACGTGGGCTTTAAAGGGAATTGGCCCCACAATGTGAAGTAAACTAAAAATCACAGCAAGTGGATGCTAGGTGCTACATTTGAACTTTGTTCGTGAACTTGTAGACTTGTAGTCTTGACTCACTCCTCTCACTCTGAAAGACACAGTCAGAAGCTCACTTTGGCTAACTGTCAGATTTCTTAAAATACCATGTTCTAAAGCAAGTTTTTGCTGTCGGGTGTCTGTGCTCCAAAGAGGTGAGAAAATGAGCTCGTGATAATCCTTGAGGTGTGCGAAGAAAATATTAGAATTTCCAAAGGAATTTAGGTTTTCTTTCATCCTTTAAAAATACCATTTGGGTGTATTTTATGATGGGCACAGAGTACAATTGTATTATTAAAAATAAATGTACATGCTTAGATATTTGCCATTAGTAGGGGTGCAAGACAAGAGAAATTTGGAGCCTGCTGTGCAGATGGGCTTCAGTGTGACCGTCTGCTCAGATCCTGGACAGCCAGGGCAGTCCAGGCTCTCCAGCCCCTGTTCATTATAGCGCCTCCCAGGGCTGTGCACTCCTGGTCTCAGTCAGCCAGCAAGTCCCAATTTCTGGAAAGTCCTCACCAGGTATGTATTCAGGGTTCTGAAATCCATCCCCATCCTGACACAAGATAGATCTGGGTTTGGTAGAGAAGAGCCTTTGTTCAAATTATAGCAAAACATGTTCCTTTTGTCTTGCTGGTGTTGAAAAAGAATCAGATAATATTAATGAATTCAAGTTTTATGAGAGGGGATATAAATTCAGCTGGTGCCACTGGACTGCTTTGAAATATGCTACATTACAGACTTCTTCTGTCTTGCCCACTGCTCCCCTCAGCAGTGTATTTCATAATCTGCCTGTTCTATTTCCTGCTCTCACCTCCCACACCTCTGGCCTGTACCCCAGTTCTTGTACGCATAAATAAATAAATCTTAAAAAAAGAAATACGCTGCTTTAGGTAGGATTTCTAATGTGCATATTGTTTAATTTTAGATTTCCAGCCTTCTCTTCCATGTCAACTTTTACAACAAGTTATCTGTCATTGCTTCATCTTGTCTCAACCTCCTCCTCACTTGTTCCATTATCCCTCAGAAAATATCTTCTGTCCATCATTTTCTACAAAACCTGTTTGAATGTCAGTGATTGATCCCTAAATTCAGCATTCATTTTGGATCCTCTTGTCTTTGACCTTTCTGTTACTACATGACACCCTTGCGGTGCCTGCTTTTTTCTTGGCTTTCAGGAAACTGTTTTAGATCTGTATTTCTAAGTACTGATATTTTGTAACCCTTGGGTGACTGTGGGCACCTCAAACTCAACATCCAGTTGGTTCTGAACACCTCTGTCTTCCCTGCTTCCCCAAATCAATCCCTGTCCCCTTTTTACTTCCACATTTCCCAACTATAGGGTTATGCATTGCAACCATAGGGTTATTTTTTATTGCTGCAACTTTTCCCTCTGTAGACCAGTGAGAGTTTCAAATATTTTCTTTATCCATTCTACTCTCTGTTCTAATTAAGCATTTGATGATAGTCCAAGATGGAATACAGCTAAAATTAGAATTTTTCTGGAAAATGGGAGGAAGAACTATCCCACTCTTCCCCAGGAGTAGTTGGGAAACTTTGACTCTAGAATGTCGTATTTCCAGCCTCACTGCTTGAGAGTCACTGAGGCAACCCAAAGCTTCAGTTACTGTGTTAGTTCCTGAACTCTCCATTCCTGTCCAGTCTGGCACTACTCCACTATTTCCAGATTAATGGTCAAAAAAGAAGTTCTGGTGGACATTTACCTTTGTGGTAGCCACAGGTTTGGCTGCCTACTCACAGCCATTCTCCCCTCTTATTCCATAAGGAAACACATGTTCTGTCCAGGTGTGGGTTCAGAGAAACTAGATGCTGCCCTCAGATTCAGTGGATAGCCATGTTGGCCCAAATCATGTAACCCCATTCCTTTTCCCAATGATTGGTTTAGGGGAGAATATTTAAATGACTCACCTATCAGACCAAGAAAAATGCTACAAGCTTCTGCAAATTGATCTCCCATTGAAAGAGACATATGCCTAGAGAGAAGACCTTCTACTCTGCTTTTGCCTTTGAATGTTATTTTGGAAAGACATTACAAGTTGTTACAATCATATTGTGACCTTAGGAGAGGCGAAAAGAGGCTGATTTCAGTCCTGGCATCACTGAGCTATGGAATTAACCTGCTCTGGAATTAATTCCAGAGTTCTTGTCACGTGTGATCATATAATGTCCGTATTGTTCAAACAACTGTTTATTGAATTTTTTTGTTTTGTCTTTATAGCTAGGAAAATCGTAACCGGTAAGCTTCTCAACACCCAAGATTCCCTAATGCTTAATAAATCAAGTATAAACTCTGCCTTAATATTCAATACCCTTCCTTGATATGGCTCTTGTTGAATTTTTCAGTCTTTTGGTATTGTGCAGTACAGTTTCATTCATTCAAACCAGATGAATAGTCTGTAATCTCCAGACACATACTCCTGCACTTTGCTTCACATAACACAACTGTCAGTCGTCATTTTCTCACCACGTCCCAATTCCTCATGTCAACCTCCTTACTTGAAGCTTTCTTTGTAACCTTATCACGGAACTTCATCTTGCTGTATCGCAGTTATTTATGTACACATCTTGTGTCCTTCAGTTGTAAGATCCTTAAGAGCAAAGAGTAAGTCTTGGCCAGGCGCATGCTCTGCAGTGGCTAAGCACCATGTACTGCACATAAACTGAACTCTGGAAATGTTTGTTCAGTTAAAATAAACCTGCTATGACTGAATTCTTGCTCCTGAATCTCAGAAAGAGCCACAGGCATTTGCCTCTTGGAAATAATCTGGTTTTACCCTTAGATTAGTGTCAACCATAACCCAAGAACTGATGTAAAGACTCAGATGATATTACTTTCAAATCTGAAGGGCGACTTAATAGAAAAATGTAGGAAAAATGTCATGGACTCTCTGAGTTTGGGCTGTAGCAACATGTATCATTAATTTAACTTAATCTGGGGCCTCCCCAGTGTTCAGGGGTTAAAGACAAGGTGTTATCAAGCTATCGTCAGCCACTGAAGCGCGAGTTTGATCCCCGGCTGGCCAGGGAACTAACCCACAGGGCGTGGCAAACCTCTCCTGTCTTGCCCGCTGCTCCCCTCAGCAGTGTATTTCAATAGATCCACTTGTTCTGCTCCCCACACTGTCTCTGGTGAATCCTCTCACCCTTCACACCTCTGGCCTACACCCCAGTTCTTGTATGCATAAATAAATAAATCTTAAAAAAATTACTTAATTTATTTACTTTGACAATATAACATTTGTTTAGTGGGTTGCCACTTTATACTATTTTTATAGGTGGTACTTATAATAATCCTTTTTGAAGTTGCAATATGGGGGATTCTTAAACATATAGAATTCTTTATAGCAGGGTTGTTCAATTTGGATCAATTCCAGGTCAAGGGCCATTTCAAGCAGATTTTGTTGAAAGCTCAAATTTCACAGGACAATTTTTTTTTTAAAGACTGGGACTTGGACCATCAAAAGAATTTATAAACATAAATATACTAAATCTAGGAAAGTTATGTGTTTATGATATCTCTCCATAATTTTAATAGCTCTTAACCTTTGTAACTACCTTTAGCAACATATGCTTTTTCATGAATAATTGTTACTTTTCAGTGATTATTTCAATTAGGAACTTTGTGGAGAAATATCACCTTCATAATGCTTCACAAATTTCAAAGAAAATAAATGAGTTGAATTAAGCTTAAACTTGATTTGGTTTGCTTACTTTTCACCAATTAAAACACACTGCATTAAAATACATGTCATTTTCACACATTTGAATCAACATTTCAAATTTCACATATCCCAAGGAAATGTGTTAAAAAATTAACAAAGTTAAAAAACACCTACATCCCAAATATTCTATTGTGTCCTCTTCTCATTTTTATTAAAAGTATGTTGAAAACTAGCTTTAGATATTACCAAAATCCTATTGAGAAGGAAGATTTTAATGTCAAAGATATTTTCAAATGCCTAATATATCAAAGTGTGCAAAAGTTTACTTCTAGAGAGAAGCAAAGAATTATTATAACTTTTCTTTTAACCCTCCTTACTGTAATACCTCTTCTCACCTCCCCCAGCAGGATTCAAGAAGAATTTTAAGTTTGATAGACCTTTTTTTTAAAAGTATATGGGTTTTTTTTAATTTAAAAAAAATATTTATTTATTTATTTATACAAGCACTGGGTACAGTCAGAAGCGCGGGAGGGTGAGAGAATTCACCAGAGCCAGAGCAGGGAGCAGGGCAGGCAGATGGACCGAAATACACACTGAGGGGAGCAGCGGGTGGCAGGAGAGGTCTGCGCGCCATGTGGGACCCTCCTCCACTGGCCGGGGATCCAACTGGCGCTGCAGAGGCTGAGGGCAGCTTCGCAACCCAGCGCTCAACTGCTGCGCCACTGGGGAGGCCCTGATAGACTTCTTTTTGCATTCGTGTATTACTTGTACAATTAAAAATCAATAATATTTTTTTCTTTTTTTTTTGGGGGGGTGGTACACATGATAACATTGATTTGCATTATTGCCACTTACACTGATAGATGTGGAGGAAGGTCTCACTAAGTTTGTTGGTGAAAAGAGGCTCAGGGAGGTCCCGGAAGAACTGTTTCACCATATCTGCTACGTCATAAGCAGATTGGTCTTCATAGTTGACGTTCTCAGGGAAGTTCTCGTTCATTTGACGTAAGGCATGGATGCGAGATTTCACACCCGATTTGCGAAAAAGACCCACCTGAAATAAGTCACAGGAGCTTGTTAGTGAGGGTACTTTGGCATCAGACAGCTTCTTCCTAACGCAAACACCTTGGAAGTAAAGAGAAGGCACAGGACTTGGACCGGATGAGCTGGAACTGCATACAATTGTAAATTACTTTGGGCAATAGCTGAACACTGTAAGTTGTTTTGGGCAGTAGCTGAACACTGACTTTTCTATAAAATGGAAATAAGAATGACATTCCATCTTTTAGGGCTCTTGTGGAGGCTAAATGAAAAAATATATGTGCCTGTGCTTTATAACCTGTAAAATCTTCTGACACAGTAGTAGAGTTTACGCATTTATCTGCCAAACTGTGGCAAATACCCACTATAAATCGGGCACACTTATAGTTGCCAGGAGTCATTAGTGAGCAGAAGAGACACAATTCCAGCCTTCCAGTGTTTACACCTTAGTGCGGGATTTTGGATAAAGTTCAGTGATGGAAGGTTTGGTTCACCCCTCATAAACCTCCATATGCAGTGCCCCTCTGAAGGAGTGGTTTATAGGGAATACACACTCATGACACAAATAATAACATAAACACATATTTTTATTTAAGTGTCTTATTTGCATTTCCTTCTTTGGATCCTGATAATGTTCCCTATGTATGTTTCTCATATTATGCTTGGCACTGACATTTCTGTCTAGTTAATTACTCTGTGTAGAAGCTATGGCTGTGGGGAGAGTGATTCTGCATGACTCTTCTTCAGACTTCGAGACACTATCTAATGCTTTTTTTTCTCCCTAGGATGTAGACTGCTCGTCTACTTGACAAATAACTGGAGCAACAGGCACCAAGGAGATATTGCTCCTCATTTAAGGAGGGTGGGATTCAGGTGGGAGCAGACCAGAGTCCTGCAAGAATGGAGATTGCTGCAACGGTTGGCAGCTCCTACACTAGGCTACCTCTAGAAGCTCTCCCGACTCAAACTTGCCTCTACTCCAAAATGAAACAAACTTTACTGGGAGCCCTGGCTTATAGTGAATTAGTACTTCCGCTATTTTTAAATGCCTGTTGAGCATCAAGTTGCTCAAAACTCAGTTCTTCAACTTTCCATCCCCACTTTTCTTATCCTCCTAGGTTGACCCATTTCTGCAAAGCAAGATGGGAACACTTGTGAGTGATCAGACAGGTAAGCAGCGGCCATGAGAGCCAGACACCATTCCTCCTGCGTACACCTAGAGAAACCCACCAGGTCATCTTACCAGCCTGAGTGCCGGGTTGGCCTCTGGCCAAGTTCAGGTGGCTGAGAAGAGCTCTCTTAGTTGTTGCTATAAATGGAGAGCAGTCCTGATTCCTTTAAATTGCAGTAACAGCAACAAAAGAATTCCAAGCAATTAGAGAACACTCAGTTTTGAATATGTCAGCTAAATGGTTCACAAGGAAAATTACACAATGCTACTTTTTGTGGCAATAAAACCAGAATTCTTTCTGATACTACTTTGTATTCTAAGGCTTATTGCCCTAATTCTACAGATCAGGATATTCAGACATTTTGTCACTTAAAACATTAATTGCTTTCTTTTTTTATTCCCAAAGCTTGGAATGTCTAAAAAGTGCAGAAAACTTGGCCATACTTAGATGACACTCCAAGAAGCATCTAAAGACATTTATCTTCTTCTGGCAACTGCTCCAGATTTCATCAAAGTGCATGAAAAGAAAGCATGCACTGTCAAAAGAAAAATTCAAGATGGCAAATGAGTGATTACTAAAGAGAGATCTATCCTCAATTTGTTTACATCTCAACTCTTCTAATTCTGGAAGGAGGCCCAGGACCATTCCACAGGGCTGCAGCACACGGCAGTTCTCAGAATCGAAGTGCCCTAAAGGTGAATTCTTAAGTGTGACTCACATTTATCCTCATGTGAGTTGGTATTATTCCCTTTAAGAATTCCTGTTATTATTCTTTTAACAGCAGAGAAATATTGATTGGGATCTTTAAAAGAATAAAGTAGACAAGTTGTAAATTGCAGATGTGGTTCCTTCCTTGTCCACTGCTGGCTTTTGTTTCTGGGTGTACGATGATGTGCATGTACACACACATCCCAGCCATGTTCTCTTTGCATTGTTCTGTTTCCAAGTTTCTTCTAGCTTCAGCAAATATTGTTATTTTAATTATTTTAGACAAGTCTGGAGCTCTCCAGCTGCGGGCTCTCAGCAGCTTATTCTGACTTAGATCACAGGATGTCCAGCGGGTTGTCAGGTATTTATTTTTTCTGCTTCAAATTCTGACAATAACCTTCCCCTCCAACCCTTATCTTCCAGGGGACATGGGAAATATCTGTGGGTTTGGAGGAATCTTGTTGGAAGTGTAGAAGGAAATTTCTTTCCTAAACTTAAAGAAAAGGTGGCCTGAGATCAGACTAGATTCCAGATGGAGTAGCTGAGAATGGCAGCAGGGAAAGATGAAAAGAACCTCAGTCTTTAAATGTGTCGCTAAACTGATGAAAGAACTAATCCTGAGCCACCCTACTTTCTGACTTCTTGTTATGTCAGCTCATACGTTTCCTATTATGTAAGCCATTTTGGGGTGGAGCTTTGCTATTTGCAGTGGAAAACTCCCAAGACATGGTAAGTAGAGGTCCTAAGACCAAAGAGAAGAGTTTCTATGTACCTACTTTCATAGAACCACCATGGGCAGTGACACAAGTGATTGCCAGTCATCATTTCGGCTTTAAAAAGTTTTCAAAACATCAATAAAATCTGAACTTTTAGTTATATTTTTTTCCAAGTAAAAAATAGAGAATGGAAGAAACCATCTTAAAATCCACTGGTTCTAAGGGCACCTTCCTCACCACAGCTGATGGGAAGCCACCCCAGGTTCCTCAGTCTCCTTATGAGGACTCAAAGAGTGCAACTTATCTTCATTGCTTCATTGCTTCTGTCTTTATTGGACAGGAGACCTAGTCACATGGGCCCCACTCTTGGTTATTGCTCTGCTATTGCTGTTTTGAAAGTCTTTTTTTTTTTTTTTAAGATTTATTTTTATTTATTTATACAAGTACTGGGTACAGTCAGAAGCGCAGGAGGGCGAGAGAATTCACCAGAGCCAGAGTGGGGAGCAGAGCAGGCAGAAGGACCGAAGCACACTGCTGAGGGGAGCAGCGGGCGGCAGGAGAGGTCTGCGCGCCATGTGGGACCCTCCTCCGGTGGCCGGGGAGCAGCCGGGGACAGAACCGGCGCTGCAGAGGCTGCGGGCAGCTTCGCAACCCAGCGTTCAACCGCTGCGCCACCAGGGAGGCCCTTGAAATTCTTTTTATATATAAATTATATATATAAATTACATAAATAATATATATCAGTAAATAATATTACATCAGCCTTCATTTTTGTACAATGTATGATTTCCTGTGACATTCCTACCACCAATTCACCTGTGCGCCATCACCATAGTCCCTGTGCTCTTCCCACCCCTGTCTTGATCCTTCTCCCTCCTCCTCCCCTACAGAACGTCTCTGCTCTATGGTTGCCTGTTGATTTTGATTTTTACTTTATTATAAAGTAATCCTTATTTGATCCCTTATTTGGTTCCTAGAAATCTGACTATAGAACAGGCTGCCAGAGAGAGAGAGAGAGAAGGGGCGTGGGGGTAAGAACAAAATGGGGAGGGGGCACATTGGACTTTGGGTGGTTTGGAGATGGGTGTGGTGTGGTGACAACACCTGAGGGGCAGATCCTGCACCTCTAAAATACAGACGATGATGTGAAGCAATCTTACCTCAAACAAAAATTCTTAATGCTTTATGAACAAGGGACCTCACATTTTTATTTTGCACCTAGGCACAGCTCAAACATTCTCTCTTAAGGGGAGACTGGTGGTCAATAATGCAAAATTCATCTTATAAGCACATCTTAAGGTTAAAGGTTGAGTGACGAGTGTTCATTTGTTCCAGTTTTACTTTCCTCTCTTTTGTTTCCCCCCTAAAAACCTAGTGCTGAAAAAGCTTGCACTCAAGGTGTAATTTAAAAAGATAGGCCCCAGAGCATCACTCATCTGAGGCAGGCAACAGAGAAAGTGATGAACAGGCAGCGGGCAAAGCACTCTTGTACTGAGTATGAAGTGTTTTCCCGGCATAATTGGGCTTTTAAAACTTACTGCTCCATTAGAAGGAGGGAATGGGCATGAGTGCTGCATTAGAATTCAAATTTCATCTAAATAATATTAAATCCTCTGCTTGGCATCCTGTTTATGGTAATCCTTTCAGTACTTAATGATGTTTATCAGAATTTCCATTTCCTCTTCTTCAGAAATGTGCTCAGCTAATGAAGAAAGGTTGGTTTTTATTCAGAAAGAAAAAGGTTCCTAAGGACAGTATGCAGAAGGTTCTTATTTTGAGCATTGCAGGCTTAGCCTCTTGCTGCGGTGACTTCGTTTTCCTCAGGAGCTAGTGTAACCTATCGTTCTGTGCAGATTCACTTGATTTAGGGCAGAAATAAAAGATCAGTCGACAAAGCAAGGCTCCTCTCACACACTGCTATGTCTGAATACAAATGGTTCATAATTGAAGGCTAAATGTCCTTATTTCATCGACAGCCAGCTGCAGGGGCAAAAATGGATACACTGTGTTTCATCATATATAAACTGTTCTGCTCTTGGAAAAGAAGGAGGTGAAATGTTGGCAATGTTTCAGGGCTCTGTTCTCCATAGATGTTTAAGTTTGAGTTGAATGCTTAAGCATGATGGGAAGGGGTCTGGCTCATTGCCTGAGATCAAGGGCAAAATACTGGGACAGTCTTGGATGGTGGTTCAAGGGGACTATGTAAAAGGGAGGCAGCGCAGAGGCCTGTCAAGTGTGGTTTAGAATTATTCAGATCTTCTATGACCTTGGAGCTGAGATCTCAAAATCCTGTGACACCTGAATCTTTTCAATTCAAAGGTGGTATTGCTGGTAAAGAGAGCGTGTCTAGAGTGATGTACACTCTTTCCTGACTCTTCTTGCTCCTTTTTTTTTTTTTTCTGATTCATTATCTTATATTCACGTTTAAATCCCTAGGGCAGTCTTTCTCTTGAGCCTGGTTTCCTCTGATACTTGCATGTATTTCTCTAGTTTTCCCTTCCTACTCTCACCTTCTGTCACAAGGTCTAGGGGGTGGTCTCAGTGTGCTTCCAACCCTCGGCGACGATGAAAGGGAGGGACGCAAAAGGCAGAAGCCTTGCGGGTACTGAATGCCTGGTATAGCAGTAGCTGGCTATTATCCTTTGAAATCTTACAGATTCTTACTTTTGACTGATACAAGGGAAGAGTTGCCTTATTCGTTTTGGTTACATTTAGAATCAGCATTTATGTCCTTGAAATGAGTCTTCCTCCTACAAAACTTTGCCAGCATGCTGTTTATCATTGTGACATTCTTCCAGATTTAAAAAATAGTTATCAGTTTGAAATGGAGACTGGAATAAGCTGGTGAGTAGCGAGAAGTTTTTCGTGCCCACTATCCTTCACTCTATTCATATGACTTTTGCTTCAAACAGAAGGCTGGACCCAGTAATAACAGTGACACTGGTGCTACACATTATCAGAATCTATAGGAGGCAAGGTCAGCATCCACTCTACACTAAAGACTGTATAGTAAGTAAAATGGTGGTATTACAATTCATTTATTTATACTCAACCTTATTCATGAAAACGCTCAAGGTGACTTATAATGATCTATAAAATACAGTAAGATACAATTAAATTAAAGAAAATAGATGAGAAATTAGAGCAGAGGAAAGTAAAGATAAAAAAGGGTAACTTGGCCCTAGGAATGAGGCTGGTACACACATTTCATGCCAAAAATTATATATATTTACCACAGGCAGAATGCTTGGCTCCAATATTTTTAGCAGCCAATATAGAGAGGAAAATGTATCCAGCTGAATAAGTCTGCTGTCCTTACTATAAAAGCAGAACAGTTTTCCAAGGAAAACAAAATACTTCTTCCATTCTCACGTGATATGATCAACATCATCAACAAAAAGTTAATTCATCAAAGAGTTGTTTAGAACCACTTCTCAAAAGGTCCATCAATGCTAAAGATGGCATCACCCCAAAGTCTACTGGGGACAAGCAATTCTAATTGTAGAGTGCAGTGGTTGAAAACTTGGACATGGGAGTTAGATTTTCAAGATGGCCCCATCATTGCCACCTGGGAAACAACACTACTGAGGATGTGTATATATATTCAAGGGGGAAATGGGCACAAAAACATTTAGTATGATCCCTGAAGCATGTACTCAAGAAAGGTTATTAATGTTGAACTAAATGGCAGAGATTTCATTTAGGCACTCATGAATGAACACTTTTTTCTTAGTAGAGTTTTGCTGATAAGTATTTGCTGGCCATTCATTAGAATGTTTACAACAAAATAATTTATGTCCTTGGGAAAAGGTAGAACCAAAGGCTGAGAGAATTAATCAAGAGGGAGAATGAATCTGTTATACTCTTGAAAATTCAGAAGCTTGAAAAACATGTGTCTAAATTAAAGATGATCCTCCACAACACACAATCTTGGTTCTATAACAACAAACCAATAAAAGTATAATAGAGACCACGAAGCCCAATATCAAAGTGCATGGGTGCAATACTTTTTAGGGTTACAAAAGAGATTAGGGTGGGCATTTCCAAACATTTGCATGAGTCCATTTCTTCAATGAATTTTCAAAGTAAAATACCTCTAAATCACCTACAATTGCTTAATATATACTCTTGATAAAAGTACCATAATTTTAGAAAAGTGGTCTGTTGGTCTACTTTTTGAGAAGTAACAGGCAACTTATTTATGTCCATTTCTCAAAACAAAATAGCCATCACCACACTTTCCCTTCACTTTAACATCTTAATGTCAGAAAATCTATATGTTCCGTAAATTAGAAGTGGGGGAGGGTGATAAAGGTATTCATTCATTCAGTTCAATCAGAGATTGCACTGGAAATTGTATCTGATACATGCAGAGCATATCCTAATTCTAAATGTGATCTCTAAATGTTTGGGGCAGATAAAATCATCAGTAGTCAAGATCTTTGAGTTTATGTCACTTATCTCTTTCCTGTCCAGAGTTCAAGGTCAAGGGTAAATAAACAAAAAGCACAAATAATCTTAGGTTGGGACAGATTCTTCAAATGGAGTAAAGGCGATGATGATCAAAAGTGATTATAGAATAGTTGCGTGAAAATACCTCCACTATTCAAGGCTGCAATTTATGAAGCGGGAACATGGCTTTCATTGTGGACAGGATGTCTAAGGAACTAATGGATGTTTATTTGGAGGAGCAAAGCTTAGGGTGTGGTTCACTCTGGGCCTAATTATAGTCCACTGCTGTGGTGGTCCCCCAACAGTCATGGAGACAGAAAATGATCTCTGAATATTTTGTTTACCTTGAGTTTTCAAATCAATTCTACAAGATGAGGGTACAACTGATTTAGCTGATATTGTTTTCTTATGTTACTTGTACATTATAAAAAGATGTAAATTTATACATTTTTGATTTTAATTTTCCCGGTCACGGTGCTGCTTTAATAAAAAAAAGAATAAAGGGAGGCAAAAATCCAACTGAGGCCACAAAGTCTTATGTCAAAGGGGACAGCTGTAATATTTTTAGGGTTGCAAAATAATTTCAAAAAAGTAAAACAAAGATTAACAGAATGCTGTGAAACCAATGGTGACACTGGGACAATAATTAAAAGGGAAAACAATACACAGCCTAACTTCTAGTTTCTAGGGAATGAATACTAGATGTCACAAGCACAAACATTAACTTCCTGTAGTTACTCCAAGAGGCCATTGAGGAAACAACCTCAAATAGCTTGACAAAGATGTAGCCAACTTAAATGGAATACTGGCACATAAAGATCACAAGGCCTTCCATTTTTGGTGAGGCATATCTTAACTGACACCTGACAAACCTGAATCTGTCTGGCATTCCATATACCATGTGCCTATGTCTGGCATTCACGACCATACCTGATCCAGGCAGTTGCTGCGTAGATATCTCAGGGCCTGCTGAATGCTCTGCGGCAGCGGCTGTCCGGTTCTCTGGACATGAACTATGAGAGGAACGCCAAAGACAGTCTTGTCTTTGTAATCAGGAACTTTCATCCTCTTCATGAACTTTGGAACTGACCTAGAATTCACAGAAACCAGGTCATGTAAGCCTCCTGGGGCACACTTTGGGGAGAAGCTGTGAAAGTAAGCAAGAGGGAAGCCAAGCTTTTGTTGGAATATCCAACAGGCATGGAGGGAATCCAACATTTCTTATAATTAATCACACTAGATGGAAGTGCTAAGTGTGCCCTTTACCAATGGGTTAGGTCTTTCACTACCCTTAACGGCATGATTCACGTTAACAGAATGTATTTATGACCATTTTCCAATATAATGGATGAGTTTGCAAGTTAGTTGTGACTGGCATCCCTCTGATGTGATAAACACTTAAAAATCCTCAACAAGAAAAAAAACAAACAAACTGAAAAACTATGGTAAGAAGAAATCTGACGGGAGTTGGAGGGAAGAAAAGATGAAACACATTTCTTGATGATGTCTCAACTTTTCTAGAATCAGATGTACTTTTTAAAGAAAATTTTAATACACAAGCATATATTGAATTGATCTTATAATTTATAACTTTCTAAAATATTTTTGTAAAAATATTGTTGATTCTTGGCAACATATTTTGTATTTCTTCAAATCTATCAAACAATCTAAACAGGTCCACATTCAAGTTCTGACATAAACTTCTGTCAGTTCCTTACTACAAAAGTAAGGATATTCTGCATATTTTCATGTTTATTTGCCAGTGAACAAATAGACAAAATATATTTGAAAAATTAAATGCTGTTTAAAGGAATCAATGCTCTAAATGTTATGCTCTGCATTGGGCCAGAAGGTACAAGTGACAGATGTTTCTCTGCAAACTGCCAGGATTATTTTATGGCAAGTTTATTTTTAATTCCTCTGCTCACAATTAATCACCCTTTACTTGTCTTTTTTCCATTTTGGAGCGCCCAACTGCCTTCCCTAGAAACTGAAAGAGCTACAACTAAATCAATGCTTCCTGCATGCTATATTACGTTTAAGCTGGGGCAGCCCAGAAGGCAGAATGTAAGGCAGGATTCCAGGCTCTAATTTCAGGAGATCAGCAGTGAAGGCAATAAACAGCTTCCCTAGAAATCAGAGAATAAATAACGAGGTTTTGCAAGTGTACAGTTAGCTGTGGAACAAATGACTCCCTCTCCTAAGTGACCAGGCTACTCACCATGTCCAGCCATGTTTATTGGACATGGAGTACTTCTCCATGATGGCAGTGAGGCGGAGCAGCGAGAAGCGCTGCAGCAGGTTCAACTGGCCAGCGGTCTGGTTGCTGATGTGGGGCGATGCTGTAGATGGCTGGGGCTGGTGTGAGAGCTGGAAACTGTTCCATCGGAGTCGCCTTGGACCAGAAAAACCGTCAGAGAGACCAGTCACAAAGTACATGCTTATATTATCAGAAAACAGGATATTAACTTGAAATAGCTGAGAGGTAAGGTGTGTATTTCGTAAGTTTGTTTTTGCTTTAAAACAATGATGACCAAGTATATAAAAGTGGTCATTCAAACACTTTAAAACGTCATTCCAAACACTCTAGAAAAATGGCTCTAGAAAAGCCTAACTCTGGCAAGAAGACAGGACAGCAATGCTAAATAATCTCTCAACCTCTCTCTGTGCCCAGCTCTCTCCTTCACACACATACACAGTCTCAGCTGTACTCAACACTTCAGGAATAAATTTAGGAATAAACAAACAAATAATTATTACTATTACATCCCTTATGAAACCTCCTAATGGAACAGACTAGACTTGGAAAAAATAGTTTGTTATATTTATTCTGTACATTTGTGTCTTCAGTTCCATTTGCCTTGTGATTTTCTTGGCTCAGAAACTATTTTGATAGTTTGATGCTGAAATGGAGCCTAAGGTGACAGGCACAGATGAAGCACTCCTAAAGTGAGGACACACTGGTGACCCCAAGTGACATTGCTGCCTCATGTAGTGTTACTGTTTCTACTGGTTAAACACTTTGAGAGCCATTTTTTTTTTCAGACTACTACTGAAAATTTGTAAAACCATTTTTATGTACTTTGTAATCAGCATTTTAAAGCTAAGACAAACTTATGAAATACATATCTTAGGTCTCAGAAATTTCTCATAGGGAAAGTTTGAAAGAACTTAAGAAGTTTGAAATTTGGAGTAGAGTCGTTTTAATTAATACTGTCACAAGGTCATGTGCACATTATCAAAGATCATCAGTGCTTCCTTAGAGTGCTAGAATAGTACTTTGCACATAGAAAGCTCAAAAATTTTTTAATAAAACTAAGATTGAATTAAAAGGTAGGCACTTAGAGAAATGGATGTGAATTAATGTGGATTCAATCACCATAATATCTGAACAAAAGACATACTTCTGCTCAAATAATTCTTAACTACACACAGTACTTCTTTGATTTATGATGCTGTCTGAGAAACCATTTTAAGTTGAAATTACAGAAAATGGAAAATGCATTTAATACATGTTCTAACCTACCGAACATCACAGCTTACAACACTTAAACATTAGCTTACAGTTGGGCAAAGTCACCTAATATAAAGTCTCTTTTAATATTTTAAATCTTAAATTTAATATTTTAATAAAGTGTTGAACGTTTCATGTAATTTATTGAGTATTGCACACTGAAGAGTATTGGCTGTTTATCCTTGAGCTGCTTGGGAGCTGAGCTTGCTGCTGCTGCCCAGCAAAGCAAAAGAGTTTGTACCACATACCACTAGTCTGGGAAAAGATCAAAACTCAAAATGCAAAGTAAAGTTTCTACTAAATGTACTACTTTCACACCACCTTGAAGTATAAATGTTTGTTACATCAATTAACAGGTTATCATGATGAAATGGAGTAAAAGTCATTTCACAAAATCATGCCACCAACCTGTTGGGCCTGGTCAGAGAGGCCCCCACACCAGAATCTCTCCTTTCTCTGACCCCAGTGGCCTCTGATTCATTAAGAGATGTGCCATCTCTTTCCACGTCACTGGGTGTGGTCCGACCTTCAGAGACAGAGTTGCCTTCAAAATCTAAGGTGACCTGATTAGGAGATGGAAAGGGGCATAAGCCAGATTCTACAGCCAACGTATCATGTGTTTGCAGTTCAGGCAAGACGTTTTTTGACCAGTCATCTACTACCTCTTGGAGCCCGTTCACATGGTGTACGATGTCTTCTAATTGTGGGAAGAGATCCTTTTCCAAGTCCAAAAGATCCCCTGTGCTGGCGTACAAGTGGGAGCCAGGGACGTTGTCATAGATACTGACTCGACTGGCTCTGTGGCAGGATGCCATGAGCTTGGGCTCCGTGGCACCAGGGCCCTGCTCTCTGCCCAGGGACATGCTACCGGTCCTCCAGTTAACTCCATTGCTATTGTCGGTTGGCGAGAGGCTTTCAATAGAGAGCGCCTTGGGAAATGTTCCTGGTTTGTGATCCTTAGGAATATGCACTACCAAGTTCTCTTGGGAATGAAACTCGTGTGTGTGGATTTGGTCACCTGCATCCCTCAGTGCTGTCGCGGCCAGCACATCCAAGTCTTCTAAGTACATGCCCCCGCGCTTGTTGGCCTCCTGGCATTTTCGTTCCTTCAAGCCAGGTGTGCTCAACCCACTACTGCCATTTTCTGATTGGCTACTTTCACTGCCCCATTTGCTGGAACACGGAAGCCCTTTTCTGCAGGCAGCAGGGGGAGAGTTCTGGAGATCTCCATTTGGAAGCTGGATGCACTGCATGGCCTTAAAGGATTCTGGCTCCTGCTGCAGGACTGGCCCGCTGATCACCAAGCCACCTGTCCGCCCCAGCCCCTTGTGCCTCCCGTGTGCTCCTTTTGCTCGGAGTGTTTCCATGCGTTTCAAAAATGATTTGGCTCTGGCCCTGGTGGGTTTCTCATGCTTTGGGTGGAAGGAGTAGTGGAGAACTTCTTTGGGGGACTGTGGGAGGTTGTTGCTGGCTAGCGTGGCATCCAGCATGACCGGACAGTCCACACAATGCTGCCCAGAGCCGCTGAAGGCTTCCCGGACAGTGTTGTGGCTGCCTGGCTGGCTGCGGCTGTCACTGCCTCCGCTGCTTTCGCTGTGAATGGAGCAGACTTCTGGCTCACTGATATCTGTGAGGACACTTTCACTGCTGGTCGTATTTCTCATCCTAATGTCTCCCGATGACCCATTTCTGTCTCCTCCAGGAAGCAGTGTGTGGAGGTCGTCCACGCGAGACCACCGGCGACTGGTTCTTTGGAAAGTCCATTTGTTACTGATACAGAGATCTTCCTCATCGGAGTCGTCACCCTGAAAAACATGGGGCATAATGCTCATTTCTGGGGAATTTGCATGTTTTGGGAGATGTAGGTGACCCCCTTCATACCTCCCTTCTCTGCATTCTGTTTCTTGGGGACTTGACTGGGCCCTTCCCACCATCTTTCATTATCCTGCACATCCTCTACCTCTGACTAGAGGATGTCTTTCCAAGCTGCCAAGCTTTCTTACTTTCAATTCTCCTAGGGTTTTTGAATTCTTTTCCTCTCTAGGAAGCTTTCCTTGACTGATTACAAAGAGAGTGTAATTACCATCTGACTAGACAGTCTAAATATAAAACACCTGCAGTTTTCTTTTTCACAATAAACTTAACCCTACCTGCCATAGAAAGCAAAGCTTTCTTTCCTGAAATCCCTGTACTGAGTCCCCCAAAACATACCTCTAGCTTCCTTCCCTCTTCTGAACTTCAAAGTCAGTATCTTTCAAAGCTGACACTTCTTACCCTTGGTCTCACAAATCTGATTCTGATTGTATACTCCCTGCATAAATTAATAGCAAAATTATCTACTGAATTCCAGGAAGTGAACACTTGGGAGCCATTCTAGAGCTTACTAGTCACAGGGAGTCCAATCTAGCCTGCTGGGCTTGGCCAGAGTTCTTGTTTTCATCAGTTCAGAATCTGAAGTACTTTGTCAGGACAAACATTTTCAGGCTGCTCTCCATCCCTTGTCCCCATCCCTACCCTGCTTTACCCAATATTTACACTCCGCTCTTCGCATATTCATCTTACTTGTCTGGGTTCTGCCTGAATTTGCAGCCCCTGAGAGAAAAGAGTCTGGGTTCCCTGAGGCCAGAGATGGCCTTATTTAACTTGACCCATAGCATATAAGTATTAACTTCCTTCCAGTGAAATGAATTGATCATCATCAGCTCTTTCCTCCTCCTCACCATGAATATCACCAAGACTGAAGTCTGAGATGATTTTCTTTTTCTTTTTTTTTTTTTTTAAAGATTTATTTATTTATACAAGAACTGGGGTACAGGCCAGATGCGTGGGAAGGTGAGAGGATTCACCAGAGACAGAACCGGGAACAGAACAGGCAGACTGATGAAATACACTGCTGAGGGGAGGAGCGGGCGAGACACAGGAGAAACCCACGCTATGTGGGTTTCTCCCCAGTCAGCTGGGATAGAACCCGCGCTGCAGAGACTGCAGGTAGCTTCACAGTGCAGCACTCAACCACCTGCGCGACCAGGGAGGCCCTGAGATGATTTTCAAATGTGTTTCCTTGTATGTATCTTCGCTTCATACCCTTAGAGTTGGCCGTTGGCACCTATCACAGTTAAAGTCTGACAAGAGTCCTTGTCTTCTGTGCCTTTTCATTTAAACAGATTTCTACAGTGTACTCCAAATATGGTCACTTGTCCAAGCTTAGAAATCTTCAGCTGCCCTTCCCTTCCTAACTGTCTTTAGTGCAACATTCAAAACCCTTCCAGCCTGACTAATACGTTTTTCCTTGCCTTCATTTCATGTGTTCTTTTTAATTTCCCTGCATTTGGTTTCTTGGCCCACAACCATCCCCCAAACATTCAGCTCTGTTATAGGATTAAGAGCCTAAAAAGTTTATAGTCCCTGAAGCTGAGAATATAGTTCTCAGAAGCCTTCCCTGACTGACCCAAGGCTATGACAACACTCTCCTCTATGCTCCTATAGTATTTGGAGTAGACCTTTATTTTGGCATTTATTTGAAAGTAGCTTAAGCTCATGTCATGTGCACCTACTCTCAACTGTTAAAGGCAAGCTCATCCAAAGTGGGGCCTATGCTTCTGTGTTTTATTCATATTTATATCCTGCCCAATGCTAAGCATATGGTAACTGCTTAATATATTTTTTGTTAATTAAATTAATTTAATTTAATTTTACTTTGGCATCTGGCTCTAAGACCGCATTCCAAGTGCTAGTAGTATCAGTTAAGAACTTAAGTGACTGCATACAAGTTACCTTCTCTCTCCAAAGTAAGTTCCTATGGCTTATAAAATGGACTAAATGGACCCTTCCTGATAGTTTTGATGAGGGGTTTAAGTGAAATAAATATCAAATGAAATAATCCAAGTCTCCCAGTGAGGAGTACTTGTTTATTCCTTATTTTCCAATGTGTGTTCCGTTTCTTACCAATCACTTACTAAAGTAGATTGCTTACTTTTCTACATATCTAAACACTCACTTTAACTTTGCAATATATTATGCTTTCAAGGAAAAGTAAACAGATGCTCAGTCAACAAATGTTGGGATCATCCCATACTTGTTTATTTCTTGAAAATTTTGGTTAATATAGGCTGGGCTAAATGACAAATTGGAACATTCAAGTGGAATGGAGAAAGTACAAAACCGAGGGGTGGAAAAAAGAAAAAAAATAACCTTACTAAGAGAGATTTTTCATAGCTTTGGAATTACATTGGGTAGTTAGCTTTGACTTTTAAAATGGTTATAGAAAGCTTGGATGAAAGGGTTTAAAAAGTTGTACAAGTGGAAGAGAAGCATGACCTGGGATAATAACTGAAAAAGACTTTATTTGTAGCATTTTTTTAACTTCCTCTTTTTCTATGATTGAAACAACAAAATCTGACATCTGAGAGCCATTTATTTACTAGGCACAACGACCGACAGAAGGTTGAAGTTTATTGGATTTTCATATTGCATTGCAGGATAGTAGTGAGAAGATATTAAGTAAGCATTCTGAAATAGCCCGTTTAGCAACTAGTTTTTGAGGAGGCAAAAGAAGGATATGCTTTTAAAGAAAATATAAATATTTAAAAATAGAAACTACAATATTTAGTGTTGGCTCTAAAGCGCTCTCTCAAGCTAGCCCAAATGTGGTTACGAATGCAAGCAAAGCACATATTAGTCGGATAAGAACTCCTTTATTTTGGTTAAGAAAAGATGCCAGGCTGGGAACTGTGGACTGGGAATGGAAAGCCTCCCCCTCTCCTCGTCTCTAAGAGCTTATTATACTAACTTTGGGCAATAGGAAGACATTTACAACCCAACCAAGACGTGAGAAAGTGGAAAGCTCCTAGAAAAAAATGCAAATAGATTAAGGAATTTTTGTAGTATTTAGATAGTTTGACCCAAAACAAATAAAATGAAAAGCAATAAAAATCGAAACAAAATAAACAAAGAAAAAAGCATCCATTCTCTTTTAGCAGCCTGTGCATTCAATTACCATCGTATATTCCAGAGGGCACTGACATGATTTTGTGACTTTTTTCCACTTGTGCTGGATCTTTAAATCATTAATAGTAAGAAATACATTTTTCATCATAACATGTATACTATAGTAAAGCAATTAAGCAATTAATTAATGCTATAATAATTATCTTTGTTTATATTCTGATACTTTATAATCTAGTTTAGTATGTTTCCTTTTTTTAATGTTGTTTGTGACCCACCAAATTAATTTGAAAATTCACCAATAGTTCATGATCCATCATATGAACAAAAAACACAGCATAAAATGCAGTACTAGAATTTAACTTTTAAAAATATATTTGGGGCCCAGCAGACTATTATCAGGCATAAAGCAGGCTTCCTAATAATACTGAAAGTTTACTGATAGTTTAAGAGATGATCTGATCTCACCTGTTTGGTAAGTTTTTAAGCTAAAAATAAGTAGCTTGTGATTATTGAGAAATGCAAAATGAAAAATATCTAGGTGTCAGACGTATTTATGAGAAAAAGAAATACCAAGCTATCTTCATTCTCCCATCTCAGCGGTTGAAGCAAGAAAACTGATGAAAGGCACTCAAGAGGTAGAAGTGGCCAAGATGGCGACCTGTGCTGATTACTAAAGAATTTTTTAATCACTGTTAAGTGATTACATCAGAGTGGGATCAAAAGACTGAAGAAACTGAGGGAAGAGATCTCTAGAGGATGCCTCAAGGCTATGTCCATTTTAAGAATATCTTGGGTGAACTAGGAGAGCTCATGTTTTTAAAATGCGAAGATGGTGCAAGGTTATTTGCTAAGTGATTTTTGAGCAACATACATACTTTTTAAAACTTAGTTTTCTCATCTGAAAAATGGAAATGATAAAAATACACATCTAGCATGGTTTTTCAACAGAACTAAATGAGATTATATATGAAAATGTTACTTACACCTTAAAATGCAAGGTAAAAATAATTATTGTTAGAGACTAGTGGCATTAATATATATAAAGATCTTAACAGAATTGAAGGATGGTCAGTTAACAGATAAAATTTCATGAAGTGAAATATAAAGGCTTTAATTTCAAAAATCAACTATAGGATGTGGAGGATGGAAGGGGCTTGGTTGAACAGAAGTTCCTATTAATAGCCTTAAGAGTAGCAGATTTAAGCTTCATGTAAGTTAACCATGTAATATGGTAACCAAAGCAAGACACCATACATAAGCAGAAGCATAGGGCAGTGTGCCACTGTATTCTGCACTGGTCTCAGACATCATGAAAAATGGACTCTTTCTGTGTGCCATATGAAAGGGGTATATTTCTAGAAAAGTGTAATCAGGATGGCCAAGGCGCTTAGAACCACAACCTCCTATGCAGGATGATTGAAAGAACTAAGTTTGGTTTAGGATTGAGGAGTTCTGGAGCATTGCTAATCCATGTGAGACAGGGGGGCTTCCAGGCCCAAACTTTTTTACTAGTCTTCAATGAGAAAAATACAGACACTGAGAGTAACCATAGGTCACCATTTAGCTAGGGGCTGTTATCCAGGCTCATGATCAGTGTTTTACTGACCAGGGTTGACATGAGCATGGTTTGTTGTTCATTGGGGCTACACTACAACATGTGACATTTCAAGATTAGTTTCTCTTCTACAGCTCAAACTGTGTAATGTGTAGAATCCATTGCTTCACACACCCAAATATATCCATAGGAATTGGCTAGTGATGAAGTTTGAAAGTGAAAAATTTGGGTAAACAATGTTACTTCATTTTGAATAACAAGAAAAAGGGAATACCTTCACTTTAAAAATTTACTTTAAAAACT